AAAAAACAGGGGAGTCGCTTGGGTGCCCCGTGTGTGTGTGTGTGTGTGTGTGTGTGTGTGTGTGAGTGTGAGTGTGTGTGTGTGCAGGCCAGGGACTAGGCGTGTTGTGCATTCTAGACATAGAGGCCTTGGTTTTCCCCTTGCACACCTGAGTGCTAAATCAGACAAAAGGGAGCCTTAGAAAGTTTCCTGCGGGTGGCTCACACCTGTAATCCTAGCGATTTAGGAGGCTAAGATCTGGAGGGTCGCTGTTTGAAGCCAGCCCAGGAAGGAAACATCTGTGAGACTCTGATCTCCAATGAACCACCACCAACCAAAAAAAGCCAAATGTGGAGCTGCAACTCAAGTAGTAGAGTGACAAAGTTCAGGGGATAGTGCCCAGGCCCTGAGTTCAAGCCCAGGATGGGGGGGGGGGACAGGGGGAGTCAGCACCGGCCTCTTCAGACCTCAGCCTCCCGAGTAGCTGGGATTACAGGCATGAGCCACAGTGCTTGCCTCTAAACCGAGAGGCGGGTGTCCTCACACATGCCTGACCCACCCCTGAGCGCGTGGCCAGCTGAGAGAGGGTGGGATTGCTTTGCTGAGGCACCCTCCTCCCCATTGGCTTCTCAGCCACACAGACCAGCTCAAACTGGTTCTACGGCCTGGGCCAGCTAGGCCAGGAGGTGAAGGCAGATTTCCTGACCTCTCAAACCCAAGCCAGGCATGCCCTCTCTTCCCCAGGGCCAGATCACACCCCGGATCCTGGGACCCCACCTCTCCCCTTTTGCTGGAAATCCTCAGAATCTAGAGGACACCTTCATTGACCGCCGGCCAGGACCTCAGCCCTGATGTGCAGGCAGGCTGGCTGCGGGGGTGAGGGGTGGACTGCGCTCACGGTGGGCAGGTCAGACCAGCCCAGGCCTCCACTCATCCCCCAAGGCCCTGCGGCAGGGAGGGGTGGGACTGAGGCTGGCATCTGGATGCGGCTGTAGAGAGAGCGAGGGAGGGAGGGAGGGAGGGAGGGAGGGAGGAGAGAGGGAGGGAGGGAGGGGCGCGATGCCATCCCTCCCCAGCAGAAGGCGCTGCAGGCAGGTGGAAGAGCTTTGAACCACGATCCTCTCGATCTCGGAGAGCTGGGAGGACCGGTATGAGCCACCGGCATCCACCCCCACCTGGAGGAACTTTCTAGGCGTCTGGTCCTTCAGCAGGCTCTGGGGCCCCAGCCTAGCGCCGCACGCACATGCGTGCACACAGACACACACACACATGCACACACGCATGTGCACGCGCGCGCACACTTCCAGCCCGGGGACTCCGCGCCTCCTCCGCTGCCTGATGCGGGAAACTGAGGCACTGGACAGCGACAACCCCTGCGCGCGGGGACCCCGGCCGCGCCCGCCTCCCGCGCCCGCCGGGTCCCGTCCCGGGGACGCCGGGCTCCGCCGGCGCCGCTGCGGTACCGGGCGCGGCCACAAGATGGCGCATCGCAACAACGAACGGCCGAGGCGCGCTGGGTAAAGATCAAGCCTGGAGCCGAGGCATCTCCGCAGATGGGGGGGGCTTCTCCTGCTAGTTTTACACCCCGATTCTGGCCGAGGTAAAACAAGGGTGAGCTGCACAGCTGGCCGGGCCCTCAGTCTCAGCCACCCCACTAGATTCTGGGGTGCATCCTGTGAGTGAGGATGTGTGGAAAAGTGCACCCCAAAACCTTGGGGGGTAAACAAGACTGGCTTACCAGTTTTTGTTTTTGCTCAGGGTTGTGGTGCTCTACCACTTGAACCATAGCTACACTCCTGGATTTTGCTGGTTCGCTCAGAGATAAAGAGTCTCGGGGATTTTCCTGGTGTTTGAGGATTTCTGGCGCTATGGGCAGATCCACACCACCAAGTTTGTGACTTTACAGAAGGTAGGAACTTCTTTTGTCCCTTTTTGCACTAGGGGGAGGGGGGTTGGTGCTGCTTCCTCACTGCAGGATAAGATGATGTGTTGTCTTTTTGGGTTGTTGGTGGTGGTGGTGGTCGTGGGACTTGAACTCTGGGCCTGGGCGCTGTCCCTCAGCTCTTCAGCTCAAGGCAAGTGCTCTACCACTTGGGCCACAGCGCCACTTCTAGTTTTCTGGTGGTTAATTGGAGATAAGAGTCTCAGGGACTTTTCCTGCCCTGGGCTGGCTCTGAACCTCAGTCCTCAGATCTCAGCCTCCTGAGTAGCTAGGTTCACAGGTGTGAATCACGGGCGCTAGGCTGTATTAAGTGTCTTGAGGACACCGAATCAAAAATAATCACAGAAGCCAGGCATGGTACAACCTATTCACAAAGCCTGAGAATCAGAAGTTTAAAGTCCACCCTGGCTACACAGTCAGAATCTGAGTGGAAAAAGCAAACACACAAGCAAACAATCAACCTAACAAATAGAGCCCAACACCACTGCCTCACACCTGTCATCCAGGCCCCTCAGGAGGCTGAGATCTGGAGGATCATGGTTCAAAGCCAGCCTGCGACAGGAAAGTCCATGAGACTTGATCTCCACTGAACCACCAGAAAGCCAGAAGTGGAGCTGTGGATCAAGTGGGAGAGCGCTAGTCTTGAGCAACAAAACAAACAAAAACAGGCCCTGAGTTCAAGCCCAGTAAGCAGCACAAATAAATACAAACACACCACCACAACAAAAATATATTTACTGTTTTCCAATAAAAGCACAGATGAAAAGAAATAATTCACGCTCATTCAATCAAATGCACAGAAGGTCACTATTTTAGACAGGGTCTCTCTCTGGGCCCGCCCAACCAAACCAAACCCCACCCCTCCCCACTAGTGTTCTTATGGTGAAATTAGCAAACAAAGACACTGCCAAGGACACCTTCCAAAAACAAAACAAAACAGTTTCAACTTGGGGCAGGGGGAGGGGAGGGGGGAAGGAAGTCCTTCTGGTTTAACCCTTTGTGAGGAAAGTGAGTTTAAAACAATATGCCTCAGCTGGGCTTCGTGGCTCAAGCAGGTAATCCTATCTACTCAGGAGGCTAAGACCTGAAGAATGAGGTTCAAGGCCATCCTGGACAGGAAAAGTCTGTGAAATTCTTATCTCCAGCGAGCCAGCAAAAAGCTGGAAAGAGGGGTGTGGCTCAAATGGTAGACCGCCAGCTGTGAGCAAAAAAGTTCAGGGACGGCACCCAAGCCCTGAGTTCAAGCCCTCATCCTGGCGCACGCACACATACCACAATTGCAAATTGTAGACTAATATCCCACTGTGAAACTGGGTTTTATTAGATGGCTCAGTCTGGCACTGGATGGCTGAACTCAAGTGATCTTCCTGCCTCGGCCTAAGTAGCTGGGACCACAGGCCTGTACCACTGTACTTGGCTGTACACACTAGATCCCTTTGTAATTTTGTCTTTTGACACGCAACTTACACATTGTGGTTAGAGCACACCGGGGAAAGCGTTTTCAGGACACCACGTTTTTGTTTTTAGTTTTGGGTGCCAGGTACTCTCTTCCTTAGCTTCGTGGCTCCATGCTGGCACTCCTCCACTACAACCGATGTGCCAAACTTCCAACAGATTCATTGGAGATTAAGGGACTAAAAGACTTTGTGACCTGGGCTCGCCTCAAACTGTGATCCTCCGACCTCAGCCTCCTGAAAAGCTGGGATTACAGGTGTGAGCCATAAGCACCCAGCCTAGAAAATACAGTTTTTAAAAATGAAGTTGGGAATGGTGGACTTACACAGGAAGATCACTTGAACCCAGGAAGTAGAGGCCCGATATTTTAAGTGATGTTTAACCTAAATCTAGAGAAGAAAATTAAAAATACAATACAGAGATATCATGATTTTGGTTTGTTTTTTCCTATGAAGAAGACAAGGCCCTAGGAAGAGGGAAGAGGAGGATGGAGTTAGCAGGGACTTTGGTGCCTGCCATTAGTGTCACACGGCTCGTGAGCAGGCCACTATCTCCCTCCAAGGACCCAAGACATCCCATGGTTGGGACGAGTGCGAATCAGCATGATTCTGGCTGCTTTTGACACTGTATTTTCAGTGTCAGTCCTGGGGCTTGACCTCATGACCCGGGTGCTGTCCCTGAGCTTTTGCTGTGCTGAAGGTTGACACTCTAACCAACTGGGCCACATCTCCACTTCCAAGTGTTGTTGTTTTGCCAGTTCCTTGGAGATAAGAGTCTCATGGATATTCTTGCCCAGGCTGGCCTCGAACTGCGATCCTCCAGATCTCAGCCTTCTGAGTAGTGTGACAGATGTGAACTGCCAGTGAGATTTCTAGAATCTACAGTGATCCTCCAGATCTCAGCCTCCTGAGTAGCTGGGATGACAGGTGTGAGCACCAGCACCCAGCTAGGCTGTGAGACTCTGGAAGAATCACCCTGCAAAAATCAAAAACAAAAACAACGGGGATGCGGTCCCGAGAGAGAACCAGACCTGGCCAGCTCAGCAGGAGAACTGGACAATCTTTCCTACCCCCGGGGATGACCACAGGCTCGTTAGGGCTCCAGCCCCCTGCAACACAAACCCCAGCTGGTCTCCTACACCCGCGCAGGATTAGAACTCAGCACCCAGGCTGATGAGGCAGCCGGCTAGTCCTCATAGCGAATCTCAGCTCGCAGCTCTTTGCTGACGTAGTTGACCACGAGGGCCAGCAGCTGCTGCTGGAGGGCCTCGCTGCCCAGGACCAGGGCTGTGAGCTGCACCGCGTCCGCCCAGTCCAGACCCCGCACGATGGCCTCCACCTCGGCAAACAGCCGCTGCTGCTCAGAGGCGGGCAGCTCCATCAAGATCTGCGGGACTGGCTTAAACTGGCCACTGGTCATCCAGGCTCCGAGAAGACCCCCGACGGCGCCCCCTAGAAAACACAAAGGCCAGAGAGTCGGTAATGGGCTAACCCAAGGTTCCCACTCCAAGCCTCTTCATGTGAGAGAAAGGTTTAATGGTTTTGTTCCTGTTTTGTGCCAGTGCTGGGTGGGACTTGAACTCAGGGTGTGGGGCTGTCCCTGAGGGTTTTTGGTTTTGTTGGTTTCTTTCTGTTGTTGTTTTGCTCAAGGCTAGTGCTCTACTACTTGAGCCACAGCTCCACTTTTGGCTTTTGTGGTGGTTCCTTGGAGAGATTTTCACAGATTTTTCCTGCCCAGGCTGGCTTTGAACCATGATCTTCTCCATCTCAGCCTCCTGAGTAGCTAGGATGACAGGCATGAGCCAACGGTGCTCAGCTTAAGGTGATGTATGGAAGCTGGTAGTGGCTCACAGCTCTCATCCTACCTACTCCGGAGGCTGAGATCTGAGGATCTGGGCTCAAAGCCAGTCAAGTAGCAAAGTCTGTGGGACTCTGATCACCAATCCATCAGTACAAGGCTACAAGTGGAGGTGTGGCGCAAGTGGTAGAGCACCGGCCATGAGGATAAAAGCTATGGAGAGCATCCAGGCCCTGAGTTCAAACCCCAGGATGGGCACATGTATACCCCAACAACCCCCACCCCACCCCAGACACACACACAGAGGAGCAGCTGGCACCCAGGCCAGACACTGTCTGCCACTAGGAACAGATCTGTATCTTTACAGATGCCTAACAACTTTAAAATACTGGCAATGAGATACTGCAAGAAGCTAAGGGAGGGAACAGCAAACAGAGAACTTTCACCATAGAAAATTCCAGCCCCCGTGACCTAATGGATGGAAGCTCTCAAGGTCAGCGTTCCCCAGTGACGTGGCCCAGCGCCATGGGTCTGAAGGAATGACACAGAGAAAGCCACGATCCACGCAATTCCTTCCAGCACCATGGTCCCGTCTAATCAGGCACACACAGAGGATTCTGTAAAACACCTGCCCAAACCAGGCACTGATAGCTCATGCCTCACATCCTAGCTACTCAGGAGGCTGAGATCTAGAGGATGGTGGTTTGAAGCCTGCCTGGGCAGGAAAGTTCGTGAGACTCTATAATCTCCCATGAACCTCCCAAAAATCACAAGTGGAGGTGTGGCTCAACTGGCAGAACACCAACCTTGAATGAAAAAAACGAAAGGACAGTGCCCAGGACCTGAGTTCAAGCTCTAGTACCAGCACACACACACACACACACACACACACACACACACACACAGAATAGCCGCTTGCCAACTGGACTCAGAAGACAAAGCAATGTGGGCTGGTCCTGTGCCTCATGCCTGCAATCCAAGCCAATCAGGTTAGAGGATCACAAGCCAAGGCCAACCAGGCAAAAGCATGAGACCTTATCTGAAAAAAAAGAACAAAACCAAAAACTGACCAAAAAAATACTAAAACAAAAAATGACAGGAGGTGGGGCTCATGTGGTAAAAGACCTTCTTTGCAAACACAACTCTATGACTTCAATCTCCAGGACTGCCAAAACTGAAAGTGCTCCCTCCCTCCCTCTACCGCGGGGGGCCCCCCCCCACTCTCTGAAACAAAGGAACCCCCTATGGAGGGAAAATTGCTAATCTACATACTTGACTGAGTCTCTCTCCCTCCCCACCCCCACTTCCCAGGACATCCATGAAACACTTATCGCCAACAAGGGTTGAACTCTTTTTGGGGGGGAGGGGAAAGGGTGTGTTGGTGATGAACTCAGGTCCTGGGCACTGTTCCCAAGCTCTTTTGCTCAAGGCTAGTGCTTTACCACTTTGAACCACAGCTCCACTTCTGGTTTTCTGAGTCTCAGGGACTTTCCTGCCCAGGTTGGCTTCAAACTGAGATCCTTAGATCTCAGCCTCCAGAGTAGCTAAGATGCCACCAGTGCCTGGCAAACTCTTGTGCACTAGATCTTTAGGAGAACATGACTGATTTACAGAAGCACTTACGGCCAAATTAAAGAAAAAAAAAATTCGCCAAGAATATCAACCTGCAAACGCCTCACTCTCCGTTTCTGGGTCAAAAGCCATTGTCACCCAAGATCAGTGGTGGGACAAGGCCGGGGGGACGGGAGCTCTACCAATTGAGCCACAGCTCCACTTCCAACTTTTCGATTGTTCATTGGAGATAAGAGTCTTACAGACTTTTCTGCCGGGGCTGGCTTCGAACCCTGATTCTCTAGATCTCAGCCTCCTGAACAGATGAGATTTACAGGTCCGAGCCACAGGTACCCTGCTTCAAAGACTGTTTTTCAATCACTACCGCCCCCAGACAGTATGTCTACAAAATAGTCACACTTACCAACAGCCAGTCCTGGGGGCCCACCAACTAGGCCACCGACAAAGGCCACAGCCCCTGTGACCAGGGCGCCCTTCCCAGAATGTTTCACGGCAGCCTGCATCTTCCTCTCCTCTGAGATGGAGCAGAGCAGCTGCATGACGTCTTGGACCACGATGGGCATACCGACCAACCTATGGAAAAAGTACAAGGGAGAAGATGCAAATGACTTGGGGTGTGGGCGTTTCCATCCAATGGCTGCACTTCTACAGTGTGGAGGGCGGGATGCAGAGATGCAGGTCAGCCCTAGACATGAGAGCAGAGGGCATCACGGGAAATATCCATGAATGGGATAATTCACAAAGCGAAGCCACAGACAGGAGAGAGTTTTTCTCTGCCTTCCAATTAATTTCCAACTTATTAAAGATTATAGACCCATCTTGGCCATTCTCTTACATCTTGCTTCTTCCCTTCCTGTCTTTCTTTTTTTGTGCTGGTAGTGGGGCTCGAACTCAGCGCCTCACATTCTCTCTTGGCTTTTCTGCTCAAGGATGGTGCTTTACTACTCAAGCCACACTTCTGGTTTGTCAGCGATTCCTTGGAGACTCAGGGATTTTTTTTTTCTAGCCTCAAACTATGATCCTCAGGTCTCTGCCTCCTGAGTAGCTGGGATTCCAGGCTTCTGCCAGATCCCCTGGCTCATCAGCAGACCTTTCCATTGGTTCCAGCAACCTTCAGCCTATGCCAGGCCTGGCGGAGAGCAGCAAGCCTCAGCGGTGTCTAGGACAGTAAGGACTCTTGGAGTGCCTTGGCACTTGCCTGTTGTGGGGGCCCTGGGCAGATAAACTATGGCAAGAAGATGCTTGGAAGAATGAGGTCAAGTTGTATGGAGAGAGAGAGGGTGAGTGTGGGCATTACAGATTCTCAGCCATGCACACCACTGGGGTTCTTGAGCAACTGCCATATTATTCCACTCTTGGACATTGGAGTCAGAGACAAGATAAGCCAGAAAAGTGGTTAAAAGAAACCAAAGGAATTCCAGGTAGTTGGGAGGAGTAGCTCACGCCTGTAATCCCAGCTGCTCAGGAGGCTGAGATCTGAGGAGTACGTTCAAGGCCAGCCTGGGCAGGAACAGTGGTTTAACTGATCAATCTTGAATTAAAAAGTTAAGGCTCAGGAGGCTGGGAAGGTGGTGCAGTGGTAGAATGCTTGCCTTGCATGCATGAGGCCCTGGGTTTGATTCCTCAGCACCACATAAGCAGAAAAAGCCGGAAGTGGCACTGTGGCTCAAGTGGTAGAGTGCTCACCTTGAGCTGAAGAGCTGAGAGACAGTGCCCAGGCCCAGAGTTCAGGGCCCATGGCTGACCCCCCCCAAAAAAAAAAGTTAAGGCTCAAGCTGGGAATGTGGCTTAGTGGTAGAGTGCTTGCCTAGCATGCATGAAGCCCTGGGTTCCATTCCTTAGTACCAAATAGTCACTCAAGTGGTAGAGTGCTAGCCTTGAGCAAAAGAAGGTCAGGGACAGTGGCCAGGCCCTGAGTTCAAGCCCCAGGACTGTCAAAAAAAAAAAAAGAAATGAAAGAAAAGAAAAAGAAAACTAAGGCTCTGAGTTCAAGTTCCCAATACCAGCAAAAACATAAAGAAAAAACAAAAGTAAAATAAACAGCAGAGCCGGTTCTGCTCCTTAGAGCTGGGGTGGGGGAAGGGAGGCCTTGGTCTTCCTCCTTCCTCCTCCTCAGATCAATATGTTGGGGTGCTTGTTAAAGGGATGGGATAGAGAAACTGGTGTATGGGGGAAACTGTATTGACCAAGCACTTTTGGTTGTGCAAGCATTTGTGTGTATTTTTGTGTCAGTACTGGGACTCGAACTCGGGGCCTGAGTGCTGTCCTTGAGCCTTTTCACTCAAGCCACAGCCTCCACTTCACACCTTTTCTTTTTGTTTTTTGCTAGTTTATTGGAAATAAGAGTTTCACAGACTTTCCTGCCCAGGCTGGCTTCAAACCAGGATCCTCAGATCTCAGCCTCCTGAGTAGCTGGGGTGACAGTGTGAGCCCCGCACCCGGCTCACGTCCCCTTCCTTTTTCCTTCTTTCTTTTCTTTCTTTCCTTCTTTTTTTCTCTTTCTCTTTCTCACCCTTCCTTCCTTCCTTCCTTTCTTTTTAACACTATCAGAGATGAAGCCCACTATTGAGTGTGATCACCAGCACTGCTCAACAGACAAATATGCACACTAATAAAAGGAATTTTTTAAAAAGAGACAAGGCCGCGGTCCTCAGCGCTTTCTGCGTCTGGGAAGTTGCACAGCTTCGGTCCGGGGCTTGTGCACACTCCTCCTGCGTGTGCACAGGATACAGACCCGCAGGCTGCGTTTCACTGCCTGAGTCAGGGCCAGGGCCAGCCACACTGCACGGCTGGCTTTCTGCTGCTGAGCTGGGGATGGGCGTCTTCTGACTGTTCCTGCCCTTTGGGGGGG